GAATTAGCTTGACCTGTTCAGATTGTTTGTTATTAAGAGTGAACCAACAACCTAAAAATTTAAAGGGTTGGTTGACTATATATATATTATATATATAATACTGTATATATATATATATTTTTTTTTTTACTCAACATCAGAAAGTGCATTTCGTGAATCAAAGACTTCTGATAAATAGAATGGATCAGTTAAGAGTAGATTAGAAAAGTCCTCTACAAAGGCTGCATTGCTTAGTTGAATTTGCTGTGTAGTAATATTATCTAATGATATAGCAACTTTATCTGCAGAGAAATATGGTTGTGACAGTATAGATTTTGAAGAAATTGAACAGGTATGTAATGCATTTTCTACAAGTCCAATAGAAGAATCAAGATCATGTACAGCAATTTGATTTGTAATTTGTTTGCAGATTTTTTTAGGATGAAACTCTTTTTTATGGTTAGTAATTATCTTTATTGTAGGAAAATATTTGTTGCATATTTTGCAGCAAAGCCTTTGATGCATTTGTGCTGATAATAAAGGACAGGCTTCATCATTTTTAGACAATTTTACCTTGTCTATATATTGTAAGATATGAATCAGGTTTAAATAATGACCATCCCTTCTTTTTGTAATTGGTAGAAGAAATCCATTATTTTCTTTTAATAGGTTAGCTGCTTCCTTTGCATGAACTTCACTACAACAATCTTGATTAGAACATTTTGTATATCAAGAAAGTAGCAACAAATTTGTGTATGATGTTCTATCTATAACCAGGTTATAGGATCTTTTTTATTTTTTTGAAATAGATTTTCGTTATACTCAATATAATTAACATAAACTGGTTTTCTATTAATATTATCATGCCTCCAGATTTCATACAAGCATTGACTAGCAAATTCAAAGTTACGTCTTGCTAAATCTTTATCTACGACTACACTCTGACTATTAAGATGTGATCCAAACTTATTAATTGGTAACTCAACTCTAGCAAGTTTTTTAGAAAGAGTACACATACTATATTCAACTGGGTTATAAGCAGATTGTAAAGGAGTATGTATACGAACTGAAAGGTAGTCAAGATAAAATTCATGAAAGAAATAACAATATTCAATAATATTTTTTAAATGCCTGAAACTTTCGTCGAGCCCTTCATCAACTAATAAGATCTATATAGATTTAAGGTACTCTTCACACTTAAATATTTTTGCATAGTTATTGTTATTAGTAATATCAATTAGATCTCTCATATATGACATTAAAGAGGTTCCGGCAAAATATTCTGGTCTAATATAAATAGATAATTGATCTTGGCGTAGTGATTCATTTGTATCTTCGGGATTGATAATAAGGTAAATTAAAGGTATGAGTTTTTGTTTTGCTCCATGAGGAAAGTTGTGATCAGAAACAGTAATAGGTTCATTAAATGATTGGAGGCTTTGAAAAGTTCTACCAACTGCTGGTATACCTAAACCAATCTTAGCTTTATCATCTTGTGAGATGATAATGCTATAATTGGCAAAGGTTGAAGCAAATTTTCTAACTATTTTAACAGAAGCGAGACAATAATGCTTATTTATATGAAAATTCATCTCAGACCAGGATACTGCAGTGATTTTAATATTTGCTGGATAATGATGACGAAGTGCATTACATATATTGAGATGCCGGAGCAAAAGGTATATTGAAAGTGTTTGACAAGTAATATAAGTATTATATCTTTCTTGTAAAGCTTTTTTTAAATGTTTTATAGTACAAACTTTAATTGTAGTTTTCTTCTTTTTTTATCTGCTGCACCAAATTTAATGCATTTATATATTTGATCAAGTAATTCAGGATTCTTCTGGAACTCTGATAGATGTCTTCTTGTATCAAACATTTTAACAATACCCAGTTGCTTTCAATTTTTTTCTTGATATTTTTCTTGAGATGCAGCATGACATTTAAGTAAACTAAAATGGTTTCTTTCCCTTTCAATAACAGCACTAGTATCTTTTAGTTTTTCAAATATTTGACGTCGAAGGTCTGTATCACTAGTACTCGTTAATAGATATTCATATTCTGTTATTTTAGCTTCGGATTCTTGAATTAACATTAAGAATTTGCATTGGCTGGTGCATTAGGGGCGATGGTAGGTGTTTTATCTAGTAACAAAGAACTTGAATTTGGGACTAATTTTGAACTAGCTAAATTTGAAGTTGATGATTCTGAACTGGGTAAGTTTGGTAAACTGGGTGGTAAAAAAAAGGTAGTTGTTCGAATAACAGATGGACTGACAATAAAATATTGACTAATTTGATTTTTAATTGTTGCTTCAGATTCTTTTCGATATTTTCACCATTCTTTATTTGCAGCATTCATCAAATCTTGTCGGTTCATACTCGGATTACAAGATTTAACCATCATAAAAAATGCAAAAGCGTTACAAAATTCATGATATAAAATTGTAGAATTAGTATACAATTAAGTTTTTGAAAACTTAGGCATTGAGAAAAAACTCTGTGTCATATTAGAATATTATATATAATGTTAGAGGAAACAGGACAGCTGCTCAACTATGCATAACAAAGTATTGTTTTAATTTAAGTATATTTTAACAAATTTTTTTATAAGCTAAATAATTTCTTTATACTCAAAAAACAACCTGTGTATTTTTATTGTACTTTTATAACAAAAATGCATCTTTATTCTAGACTTTATTTAGAAGATTCATGCATATTATTGAGGACTGATGTAAGTTTTCATTAATTCTTTTTTTATATTGCAATATCATATCATCATTAATTCTTTTAAGCATTTTTCTATATTTGCTATTACATATTATAGGTTTTTCATATTAACTCTTTTACAGATTTAATTCTGCTTAATTTAGAAATTTCTTCACTATTATGAGGCTGTGCTATTGATTTTTTTCTCATAATTGTTCTATCTTCCGCTTGATATTAAAATCTTAGATTCTTACTATTAATATTCAATCTTTATACATTGCTATAGATTTATTTTTACTTTATTTAGCAATTGATGATTTCTTAGGAAGCTATAAGCTAAAAATCAGTTTGTTATTAGTTTCTATTTTAAACTAATCCTTTTAATTAATTTTTCATGCATGATTGTGACTGTCGCCACATACTTTGCTAAATTAGGTAATATTATTTATTTGCTTCGCAAATTCTCTTGCATGTCAATAATTAATATCTTTTCAAGTTAGGTTTGTACCATTCTACTATAACTTTAATAAGTGTTTATATTTGGATTAAATTCTTTTTTTATAGTATCATATTCAAATGATTTTAATCTGTCTAGAGATACGAATTAGCTCATTTAGAAATTAGACTTTTTTTTATACAATTAAAATATAGGATGGATGAGTTGATTCGACATCTCTAGTTTATGCTATTTATTTATTTAATTAAGATCATATGTTTGATTAATAAATGAATATTTAAATAAATGCACAGATGCCGCATAGACCAATTAATATTTTGTAAATAGCACGCATGGTTATAAGTAGTACTCATATTTTTTTTATTTTTCGTACAGAAAAAGTTACAATTGTGCGACATTCGTGTAATAAATATTCAATTGAAAAATTAACACTAGTTTATTCATATTTAATCAATAAAGCGTATGCATTAATTCTATCTATAATTATCTTTTTTATATATCTTAAAATTATGTAAAATTAAAAGTCAAAATATTTATGAAATATATTTTGTGGTTTTAAGTAGAAATTCTTTAATAAAATAATCAATATTCTTATTTTTGCTTATCTATCCTTAAAGTGTTACATGTTTAATATTATACTGGTTATTTATCATTATAGATTATATTGGTTAATAGCAATAGTGAATGTAAATATTAAATATAAATTATTTAATCATATTGTTACAGGGTAACTTTATAATGTTATACTAATAGTTTCGTAGAACAATACTTTATAATTTATAGTTTATATTTTAGATATAATTCTTGTTAAATTTATATTGTATTATAATTTATATTGTATTTAGAATAGTTAGAATATTGAAGCGTATACCAGTGTGTGCCATATGCCACTGTGTGCCGTATGCCACTGTATGCTGTATGCCACTGTGTGCTGTATGCCACTGTGTGCCATATGCCACTGTGTGCCGTATGTCACTGTGTGCCATATGCCACTGTATGCCGTATGCCAGTATATGTCACCTGCCACATGGTATATGCCAGCGTATACCACCTGCCATATGGTGTATGCCAGTGTATGCCACCTGCCACATGGTGTATGCCAATGTATACCACTTGCCACATAGTTTTATAATAGTATATATTAGTACAACACATATGGTTGTATACCAGTGTATGCTAGTATACCCCACATGGTTGTATACCACTGTATAGCAACCTAACAGTTATTTAAAGGAAGGCTTTTCTCCCTTACCTCAACAGACAATTAGACAATAACCCACAGACAACAGATATTTTAAATAGAAAATATTAGAGTAGATAATGAATAGAAACTATTAAATACTCTTTGGAATATTGTTCCCTAAATATTTCTACAATATTCACTTCATTTTAATGACCTTGTAATGTCTTTATTGTCTCTAAAACAAGTAAATAAATCCTTCTGCTTAAACCTTCTCTCTTGCTCTTCTTAAACACCTTCTTTAAAAGTACCGCTATAACAATATGAGATTTTATAAAATTTTTAAAGTCACTATCACCGGGGAGGAGGGGGTCTGGTCTTATAATAAAAATTAATTACATAATAAATGGCACTCCCCTTAATAATTGGGTTTGGATGTTGGAGTATATTTGTGCTAGACTACAAATTATTTTGAAGTTGCTGTAATCTTATACGAGTTGTAATACCTAGCAGATGGGGGTCATTAATATGTAAATGAAAGTTTGTAATATAGTGTTGTAGTTGTATATTTCAAATATTACAGACATTATATAGGTATGGGTTAAGCATAATACTATTGGGAATAGATCTTGAAAGGTTAGATTTGTGTTTGGCTACAGTAAGATATTTGGTTAGAATTTTGTTACATATAGTTCGGGATAATATTATATTATGTAATCTATATTCTAAAGTTTGTATTATAACTGTATTGATAATATAAATTATTTGTTTGTCTGTGATCTTTTTGGTACTTGCAGTATAAGTTAGCTAAAAAGTTTCATCTTGTATAAGTTTGATTTGTTCGTTTTGCTTATTGTTGAGTATAAACCAGCATCTCAAATATTTGAAGAGCTGATTAGTTGGTATTGAATTAAGGGTATAGTTAATAAAGAAAATTGAAGTAGGTTTACAGTTTGTCACAAGTACTGATTTGAATGGATTGATTTGTAAATTAGCCATCTGGTAGAATGACATAGCAGTTTGTGTAATACGTTCCATTTCTGCTTTATTCTGAGCAATCCATAGTATGTCATCTATATATGCCAGTATAGATGTTGAGGCTTGAGTATATTATTTAAATAATGCAACTTTATGAATTAGAGAATCATAGTAAATTCTCCAAAATAGTGGAGTTATGGTCTCTTCTTGGTTTATGCTATTTTTAACCTGATAATTCTTGGTAAGGCCTAGATTTGTGATTACTCTGTTGTAATAGTCTGCAAAGAGGTTAGTAAGTATATTAATAAGTTTGAAAAGCATGTGAATGCGTATAAAAAATCTTTTAAAAAGGTCAAGGTTAACAGAGTCATATGCCTTGCTCATATCCTGAGATATGAGCCAGAGTTCTTTGGAGTTGCATAAAGCATCCTCAATAATATTATTGAGGATATGTATAGGTATAGCAGTACTATTATCAGAAAGTGCAATATAATTGTAAGAGAAAAGGATTGAGTTTTTAGTAAAGATAAAGTTTTTTTTTTTTTTTTTTTTTGAAGGTGAGGTTTTGCCTTTATCTTTATTAATAATTTGTGTTGAGAATCCACTAGG